TTGCTAAAATAGCATTCCAACATTTCATAAGAAACAACTTTGCAAGACTGTAAGAACTGTTAAATGCAAAGGGAATCTATGCTGCTTCCCAGCTTCTATGTTGAGAATTTGTGCAACACCAAACAAAAAGAAGCAGTTAGACTTTTAATTCTCCCCAGACAGAGCAATTTTCTTAGATTGTTCTACCTTAATTCAGAACACAGTAAGATTTCTTACCTCACAGTAACACTTGTCAAGCAACTGCACAAAACTTGAAACACTGGCTTTCTGCACACCTCTTCCATCAACTTGGAATCTCAAAGCATCAGTCCTAGTGCTAAGGGAAGCTGTCCCTGACAGCACCATGCAATCTACTCAGCTGCTGGTGTCACTGGTATGTGGTGTCATCTGCTATTATTTTCCCATCTAGGCTAGAGATTTAATTCAAGGGAATGAAAAAAAGCCATGTTCACACAGTGATGATGTTAGAAGATTCACTACAGCACCTTTTCTGGGCAGCCTCTTCTAAGAAATAAGTTGAAATGTGACTGGCAGCAGTGAACTCACCAGCTCTAAGAATTAAATCTTAGTGATTCCTCTGAAGGTATGGCAAGTCAACAAGACAAGCACAATCGTCTTCCTTGTTAAATTGGCTTCACCAATTGAGATCTTCTGCATAGAAGATACTCAGTAACAGGAATAAGTAGCAAGTTAATACCTGTATTATCTAGTTCTTAGTTACAAAAGTAAGGATGAAGTGTAAATTATAAAAGCATTTACTTGTTTTAAACTCTTCACTACAAAACTGAAAATTCTGTGAAGAGACTTGACAGATGCTTGCTATCCCAATTTAGTCTAGAAAGAAAGTGGTATTGTTTTTCCACAGGAAATAAAAGTTCTGAAATCTTCAAAATAAATTGTATTTCATTTTGAAATACAAATACATTTAGAGTAAAGGCTTGAAGAAATACTTGAAAATGGCAACTTTAGATGTATGAGAGGACACTGCTAAGCAGCTGAAAGCCATCTCTTTTTTTTTTAATTATTTTTTTAGTGTTCACCCAAATGGCAGTAAAATTGAATAGAAAATAAAATGGAATTCCTAGTTTACTTGACAACATGCCTTTCAAGATGAATATTTTATATCTCAAATATCCAGAAGTTACTATTCAGTAACTGTGAATGAATTATAATATATAAGTCATATGCAGTATTTTGAATTGTGCCTTAACTGCTTCCACTGAGAACATTGTCTTTTACCTGGAAGGGAACAATGACAGAAGAAAGGATTTCCCACTAAAAGCAGTTCTGATCAAAGGACTCTACATCCTTCTATTCTGAAGCCTGTTACCACCTAAAATTACAGTTTGACTTGCCAAATCCTTTTTTTTGTTTTTGCTCCTCTGATTTATCAAGGACTTTCTCCAAAATCAGTGTGTCTTTGAGCAATCCATTTTATTTTCTGAGGCGCTGTCACCATTGTAAAAACAGTCTGATCAAAAGAACTTTTCTCTGCCCATCAGACTTCTTAGAAATAAAAGACCTGCTTTCAAACAAATGAAAAATATGAAAAATTCTGAAAGATATAAGCAATTGAAACCTGTAGGTTGGAAAGGAGACATGAGAAAAATTCCTATGCCCACCACGCTTCATAGAGTGGAGGTTTTGATATATTCTTATCATTGTACTTATTACATAACAAATTATTCTTAGCCAAGCCTTAGCTTGTGTTCCCTATTCCATTTCATAGTTAGGATTCATTTTAAGGGTGACTACATAGCCTAGATCACAGAAATACAGAATGCCAGCTGTTGCAGAAAGAGGCATTTTACCGTGATGAAAAGTCTATCAGCACTGTTTCTGCCAACGTTCCCATTCAAATACAGTTTTAAGGACTTCAAATGTAAATGTACCATGAATAATTATGGGGCAGTTTACATCAGTGCCAGTGCAACACTGACTAGGAATGTTCATATTCCTATTTCAAAAGTGCTTTTAGCTCTCTTCTTGAAGTTTGCTTTGCAATTGTATATAACAGACCCGTTTTCCAAAAGGAGCCTAAATTGCTAAAAGACTGCTGGGTGGTTGAGAAGTATTTACAAGATGGATAATTACCCACTGATATTATCTCAGATGCTCTTCTGTTACACAGGAAGTGGAGATATTTCCCTCGTAAGGACTGTGAAGCTGGGGGTGAGGTGGGGGTGTCTGCTTTTAACGGTAGAACGAAGGACTGGTAGGAACAGCAGGTTCCTCAGATGCAGAACAACACTTTGTAAATAGAAAAACCTAAAGTAACAGTGAACAGCTTCCTGAGAAGGGAGGGGACAGGAAGCAGGCATTGTGATAAACACCACAGAAAATAACCACGTGCAAGAGGACTATGAGAGCAAAAACCAAGAAAGCAACAGACTGTGAAAGCTGGGCCAGCTGAAAACGTCCCATCCTGGATGATCACAGGGTGTTACTGAAGGAAAACCCTCCATGCTAAAGACCTTTGCCAGTGCCTTCATGCTTTTCTTACAGGTAAGAAACAAACTGCCAACAGACACACATGCAACAGAGGTCTGTGCTTTAAGGGTGTGCAAGCCTAGGGGACTGTCCATGAATTGTGTCAGCTCTCTCCTGCATATCAGAGAAAAAGGACTGGGATAACAGCATGGGACTGTTAAGTGCTCCTGTTACTGTTCCCCATCCCAAACAGTGCTTGGAAGAATTGTAGATGAAGCAGGAACATCTCCCAACCTAACCCATGCTTCACATCATTTCACTGAAAGCTCAGCCTAGTTTCTCGGTTTGTGGCTAGAACATTTCCATACTCCGCATACTCCGTGTGCTGTCTACCAGGAAGCCCAGCACTGCCATTGGTGGTATCCCACCCTGTGGGAAAGGACCCACAAGGATCAAGTCCAGCTCCTGGTGCTGCATAGGACACCCCAAGACTCATAGCATGTGCCTGAGAGCGTTTTCCAAACACTTCTTGAAGAGCTGGCTGTTTTTCTGTTTCTGCCTCTACATGTGGTACTGAGGGAGCACATCACCAGCCCTTACACAAACAGTTCATGATTAGGAGAGGATAGTTACCCACAGGAACCCACTAGTCATTAAACACTGCTCAATGGTATTATGACTACTTGTGATAGGGTACAAATTAATATCCTACTGTCACCCTTAGCAGTGGAAACGGAAGAAGTTCATTTTGTAGTGTTATGGCTAACAAGCTTTGTCAGGAGCAAGCAAAAACTGGAGGATGTTTTCCAGCTTCCATGGGCTCTGGATTGACAGTGCTAATTGATAACAGAAAAGGGCAGAGCTTCACCTGGTTGTCACAGTGTTGGTAGCACATACCACAGTTTAAGGATTAGCAAAATGAAAGCCTGTGCTAACCTGCTAACACTGAGCTGTGTTGTTCCTCTGCATCTACATGGACGCCGTGTTCATGTTACACCCAGTAAAAACTTCATCCTCATCTGTGCCTAGTCTAGGAGAGATAAAACTACACACAAGGAAAGAAAGGTTAATGAGGAAAGCAAGGGAGAAGGAATCTTTAAAAAGCACAAGGAGAAAAGGAATCCAGCCTATTATATAGCTGGAAGAAATATATTTAAGGAATTTTAAAAGGCAAGCTGAAGAGGAAGAAACCACTACTAAAGGAAGGTAGTACACCCTGAAGAAAATACTTATAAAATGTTTTTATTAAACCATCTGGATGACTACTCAAAAATTCTTATATTTTTAATTGAAAGGGAAATGCTAGGAGAAAATGAAAGCCGTTCCTCTAAGTGATAGAAAATAATACCAGATAATTAAAAATTATGTTTTATAATCAAATGTTCCTCCTAGCAGCCTCTTCTAACTGTTGGTGATGGACTGTGGGACAATGGTGTATCAATAACTTGAATATACCCTGCTGTGACCCATTTTTAAAGTTTATAATCACAACAAGTTATTTTTCTCCATGCAGTAAAATTTATCCTCTGCTGCACTTAGTTAAATGTATTGCAGGATTAGTTTATTGAAGGATCATTTCAGGAACTACTCTTACTAGTGAAGTTTATGTAAATAATTTGAGAGGTATAAATGGCTATCACAACTACCAATATAGTTTTATGTTAAAACAGTCAGGTAGGGTAGTTCTTCCAGTCTAGGTAGCAGTTATAATCTGCATTAACCTTTTTGAAGACAGTTTGTAAAATAACAGTAGAATACTGTAAGGTTATGTAGAGCAGTGAAGGCTTCATAAAACATGAGACATTTGCTGGGATAATCAGGCCCCATTTCCTCATGGCTGCCTATTAAGAAATTATATTAACTGGAGACCCCGGTCCTTACTGCCCCTCAGCTGCACTGGCAAGGCAGTGTCATGGGTGCAAGAGGAGGATCCTCACTAATAAAAAGGAGACAAGCCATGCCTGCAGCATGAGCCTTTTTGATCTCCAAGACATACTGTGAATAATGCCTTTGTCCCCCCCGCTTCCTTTGTTTCACTGTAAAAAAATCAAAACCAGTGCAAAACCTCGCAAACAAAACCAAAACAACATCCCAGACCTCCGTATTTTGCACGCATTTGTAACTGACTGGAAGACTTTTCGAAGAATTAGATGACAAAGGGGGAGGAAGAGAATATGTTTCCTGACCACACGTGCTCCACCTCACAAAGCCCCAGTCTGCCTTGAAGGCCTTAATGGCTGCAGCCCCTCATCTCTCCCGTTGTGGTTTCCCCTCTGCTGGTTGCATCTCCCACGTCAGCGGCTGAAATTGCTTTTTCCCTTCCCCCTTTTGTACCGGCCATACTCCCCTTTTCAGTTCTGCCTCGTTAGCTATTTTGAGCCACGCTTGATGTCTCCATGGCAGCAGTTCATTCACCCAGATAATAAAAAAAAAAAAAAAAAAAAAAAAAATTAAAAAATTGAAGGGGTGGGGAAGTATGGAAGTATTAGGCTGAGAAGAACCGGAGACTTCCACACAGCTGTACTCCCACGGCCCTCGTTCCGTGCCACGCTGCCGCGGGCCTCACGGCACGGGCAGGGAGGCGTAGGGGAAAGATCCTTGTTCGGAAACACGGAGCCCCAGCGCAGCAAAAATCCACGTTCCTAAAGACGCCTTTGGGTAGCGGTGCTCCGTCCCTGGAGCCCTCAGCATCCCAAGTGCTCCCACCGGCCGTGCCGGGCGCGAGAAGCAGCGGATAACAGGGTGATCCCGCGGGTCACCCCGGGGGTCTCCCGACCCCCCCCGCCCCGCTCCCCTCACCTGACCCGCGCCCGGAATCTGCCCCGCCACCACGGAGACACGGCCCGGCCAATCGGCGCGCACGGCACCCATCGCCACGGCAACGCACTGAGCAATCCGCGGCGAGCTCTCCCACCTAACCCCGCCCCTTACCCACTCCCCCGCGGGGCGGTGCCGCACTTGTCACAGCGGTGGGCGGGGCCGGCGGAGGGCGAGCAGCCAATCACGGTGAGGCTTTTGCTTTGGTGCCCAATGGGGGCGCGGCGCCCGCGCGGCCCTTAGTCCACGGGAGCCGAGCGGGGCCAAACCCAGCTGCGGCCGCGGCCTCCTTCTCTCCGCGCCCCCCCACCCGCCGGCGCGGAGTTGGCGGCGGCGGCCTCCGGCTCAGTCTCCGCGTCCCCCCTCCGCGACCCCGCCCGGCCCCGCGCCCCCGGCCCGCGCCGCCCCGGCAGCGCCGCCTCCGCCCGCGGGGCCCGGGCCGTGCCGGGGGAGGAGGGGGAGCAGCGCCGCCGCCGCCGCCGCCGCGGGCGGGCCCGTCCCCCAGCGCCCCCCCCGAACACCATAGGCGGCTCCGGCTCCAAGATGTCCAACCGGGTGCTCTGCCGGGAGGCCAGCCACGCCGGCAGCTGGTACACGGCCTCAGGTACCACCGCCGGGACCAGGGAGCGGGCGGCGGGGGCTGAATCAGCACTTTGGGGCCGCCGGGGCCGGTACCGGGAGCGGGGAGGGGCCGCCGGCTCCGCCCCCGCCGGCACATGGCGGGTGGGTGGGGGGGGCTGGGGGCTGCCGGTTCCGGCCGCCGGCGGGGACCGGGCAGAGCCGGGGAGGGAGTGCCGCGGAGCACCCTGAACGCACCTGCCGGCCGCCGCTGTCCCGCTCCTCCGGGCCGGGTCCCTGCAGCGGCGCCTTTCGGCCGAAACCGGCGTTCGGTCGTCACCGGGGATGGGTCGGGCCCCCCGGCTGCTCCTCGTGCAACTGGCGTGCCCGGCGGCCGTGCCTCGCCGCAGCTTCGTGTGTCTCGGCAGCGGGGTTGGAGCCAGCTCGGGGCTGTGCTTCCTACCGAGTGTTGCTCTCCGTCAGAGCACACAGACGGATTTCAGTATTTTCATCTGTTCCTGGGTTTTTGGTTTTTTTTTGTTAATTCAATGAGAAAATACCTCCTGTCTGGGGTTAGAAAGCGGGGGGAAAGGTGTGGAAATAGGGAGGTTTATTTTACTTCTTGTCGAGGTGTGAAAATAGGGAGATTTATTTCTCTTTTTGTAGTCCAAGAAAACCTATTTTTCCTTCCCGAGCGCTTTCTTTAGTAGGAGTGAAAAGTTAACTGAGCAATAGTGCAGAGAGGCTCTGTCCATTTAAACATGTGGTACTTGCAGAAGAAGAATAGAAGAAAAACGTGGTGCATTGGAGGGCGGGCTACCGCTGCCCTCGCCCACGCCAAAAATAAGGGCAGAAACACATAATAACGGCTTGATAACACATATGTTTGGTGATAAGTTTTGTTCGGTTTGGGGGCAGAACCGCTTTTGTGAAAAGGATGCACGTTTGTCTTTTCAGAGCTGTTAATAAGATTTGTAAGGGATGTTCTTTCACTGGCCTCGGGAGTAAAGATGATTACAAAACTGCAGGTGAACGAGCTTAGATGGACAAGAAGCTGTCATAATGAACAGTTCAGAGAGATAGGGTGTACAATTAATTGAAGATAAACCAAACCAAACAATGAAGTGTTATATTCAGGACCCTAAATTCAGCATCTAAGAAGAATTGGATGTGAAGTCATACACTTCTCGGCTAAAATAGATGTGGTTTCTCCTCTTCTCCATAAATTTATGAACGAGGTATGAGGCAAAAAATGAAAGGGAAGAAAAGAAATACATGGAGGAGGGTAACACAGGAAGAGGCGGGTTGTGTGATAAGTAGCTGGGCTTCAAATGGTTGGGTAGGCATTTTCGAGACAACAATAGAGGATGATTGTTTTCCTTCCGAGCTTAATATTCTAAACATAATTCTAGTGTCCATTACAAAACTGGCCTCAAATCATCGTGCAGCTTGCAACTACATTTATTTCCAATGATCTAGAAAGGTAGATAGTACTCCATTTACAGAAAATATACAAAATCATAAAGGTTTAGGTTTAACCATGTGCAGAGACATGAAAATATCAGAGCTTTGTGGTGATCTGATGATTTGATGCCTTGGTCCTGAAATTTATATTTTCTTTTATGAGTAAAGCAGAGAACTGATCTGTGATATGGAATGGCTATATGACCTTACACCCAAATTTTGTAGTTTGTTTGGTATTGGACGTCATACCAAGTTATTACTGAATACTTGCAAATAAGATTTAATTTTTTAAAAAAAATTTAAGAGGCATGGATACTGTGTTTGACTGTTTTCTTTTCTATAAAAATTCAGTGCATAATTTAGTTAGACTGCACTTTGGTAAGTGTGCGTGACTAGTTTGGCCAGTACTAGTAGGACATCCAAAAGCATGTTACTCCCATTGCTTTTGGGCAGCCCTCTGGCAGTTATTATTGAGGGGATGTGGGATGGTTGCCCAGACACACTGCATGAAAAAAAACCCAAACTGAATCATGTTGTAATAATGAATTATGACAGCTGTGCTTGTGACAAGTTAAATTGTTACAGCATGTATGGTGGGGGTAAGTGGTTGGTGTTGCATAATCTGAGGATTTTGGAAATATATTTTTCCTTAAATGAGCAAGGAGTATTGTGTCTTGCTATAGAACTCTCTTCTGCAGTTTGCACTGGGTGTGTGAGAGCAGGAATTGTGCCTGTTCAGCAAGATGGATTACCTATTATTTATTGCTTGAAAACTAATTTTTGTGTGCCATTTAGGAAGCTCCATCAAAACTCCAGCAAAAGAAAATGGGGACCAAGAGGCTATACGTTCATTGTAGATTTAACTTAAAATCTTCCTATATTTCAGGCCAGACTCTGATGTCAGCTGCTACATCAAACTTGTAACATAGGCTCCTCAATTGTACTTCTTGAAGAAAGTGGATTTTACCATGTGTTTTTAGCCTGCATAGCTTCAAGGCTGGAGCTGAGGCAGGGATCAGTTTGAATTTTGATAGTTCTTCAGTGTGTTCCCACGGTTCTCCAGGGATTGTCTTTTCAAGTCCTCCTACCTCCTCCGTTCTTCGCGCTACTGTCTCAGCCCAGAAGCGATTTGCTGTGTTATATATAAACTGGTTAGCGTTTAAGCTTCCTGTTTCCTCCAAACTGCTCTCTTTCTACAGAGCTAAGTTTGATTACACAGGGTGAGTGGATGCCCTGTCTTCGCTTATCTGCTCTGTAGTTAAGATGACCCATCTGAAAGGCTATGGGGAAATGTGATTTTTGACAGATACGTTCAAAATCTTTACATCTGAAAGCATTTTTGAAGAGGTTGAGTGAGGATGAGGTTTTTAAGTGGTAGTTTCTCCTGAGGTGCCTGGTACCTAGTGGTAAACACACCAACACACCATCCAGGATGATGCATGGCATTCTGGACTTGGGAGGGATTTACTGCAAAAGTGAAGCACCCAGTGCTATTTAAAAAAAAATAAAAAAAAAAAAATTTGCTAACATCTGTTTGTAGAAGTCGGCTCTGGGAAAGAAGGGCCAAAGCCAGCTGAGGGGGAAGACAAGGAATGGATCCAGAATGCAGTCTGGCTTTTGTGGCCAGAGGATATTCTTAAACTGGGTTAGCTGTCTCCTCTGCACTCCAGGAGTGGAAGCAATATCAGAAGTGAAGCCACAATCAGGAGGGAGCTACTACACTTTATGGATGGTCAATGGAACATGCGTAAGAGGGTTTGGAGGAAATGCCATTTCTTGTCTTTAGAGGCTTCTCATTTCCATCGGACAGCAATTACTTCAGCTGAAAATAGGCCATTGCTCCATTATTTTCTCCAGACATGGGATATGCGCTGCTTAGGTTCTGCCTTGGAAAATATAAACATGCACTCCATTCTAGTATGAATATGCCACCTACTTGTGTGATGCTAATGAATGCTGTAGAGCAGGTGGGACTGGCTGTGCAATTGTGCATATCCAGGCATGTTCACATGTTAGAATGTTTCATCTAAGTAAACAACTTTGTAATAGAGGGAAAGTTAGGTCCGGGGGTGAAAGCTCAATGCTTCCTACTCAGTAAACCTGAGAAAGGGGCAAGAAGTGGAAGATGACCTTCACCATGATGTTAGGATTTGACTTCCCATGTGTTCTTCATTGTGTGCTGTTGTAACAAAAAAAAAAAAAAAAAAAAAAAAAGTTCATTAAGAATTTTTAGCAGGTGAGTTCAGTGTGAAAATTTTAACTGAAATGGTTGTCATCTCTTTCCCTCTAGAATTCTTGGTGTGGGGAAGTTAATGTTCATTCCACATCAGTCAGTGCAGCATCTTAATGAACTTCAGGTATATACCTTTGGAGCATTTGATTGGCAGCAAACAGAACAGTGAAGTCTGGTCACTTGTTCCTCCTCCTATTTAGCAGCATCACTGAGTATGGGAAGCTTTACAGCTGAGCTTCCAAACTGAAGTTGTGCTGTGCCTGTTGCTGATAGTAGGCCACTGGTCTAAACAACTTTGTTCTTCATTTGCAGAGCTTGATCTGCACATCTGCTTTTAAAAAAAGTTGGTGGTATATGACATGCCATTGCTTTTGTGGACTAGCAGCTTGGTGTATGCTGGCCACGGAAAACATTTGCAAAATTAGATGCATGCATACAACGTGAAGAAAAATATCATGCAATCATGTAGATTGTTAAAAAAAAAAAAAGAAAATATCACTGTTGTGTGGTAAGAAATAGTACACTCACATTTATTTTTGGAAGAAAGTCCCAGTCCTGCTGTGTTAATTCAACCACCTAGTATCCAGACCTCTTGAGAAACTGATTTTTAACCAGCAGGTGGAAGAGGAAGACAGCTTGAAACAAAAATGGCATAATTTTCAGTGTCTTTGAATGCAGGCAGACACATTCCTAGATACAAAAGGAGCAGATGAAATACAGTGGAAATGACATGCTAGCCTGAGCATGGGCTGTATTCTGGATAAGGGTGTTTATTCTTTGATGTGAGTAGATTCAGTAAGTGCTGGGCAGTAACTGCTGTGGGAAATCAATCCATATGCTCCTGAAATGGAAATAAACATTAGCTATGTGCATCTCTTTTTTTCCTCTGTAGCATGTCATGACAAGTGGGATGTCACATGGTGCTGAACGTGGCTTATTGGCTCACAGCTGGCCTCCCTTGTCTGGTCCCTGGAAGTGGTAACTCAATACTGAAAAAATACTACTTCTTATTAATGTGATAAGAGTTCTTGTTTCAGCTTTTCCCCAGTCAGTGGCATGGTGATACAGATAAAACATGAAGATTTTTAGTAGGCTCTTCCAGGTCACAGGAAGTAAAAATCCAATAGAGAGTGTGTGTGTGAATGACAATAGTACGTGATATGAAACTTGCCCTGCAAAACAAGTTGGTTTTTGTATTAGTTAGGGCTTATTTCTCTGCTTTCCATGACCAAACCATAGTGGCCAGAGGTGTGCTGTTAGCCTGTGCCAACTTGTTTGAACTAGGAGAACCTTAATTTCCATAACTTATTAATGCAAATTTCAGTTGGCATAGTAATTGCTGTGTTGAC